TCTCCCTCCTCAGGACAGAAGGCTAGATTCTGGGATCATGCAGTCTTGGATATTCCCAGTGTCTCCTCCTCCAGCTAGGAGGCAAAGATTCAGGAAGACATTGACCATGAACTTCTCATTTCAGGCTATGTGAGTGAGCACTGGTAGCCGCTGTATGCTTTTCCACTATACCTTAGCCCCACTCCCCTCCAGGTTGTCCTCTTGACTCCCCAGACTTCATCTCCTATGCCACAGAAATCTCTTCATCCTACCACATCACACCTATCCAATTGGCTAGCATGACAAACAAGAAAATGATAAATGTTGGAGAAGATGTGGGAAAATTGGAAAACTATCGCATTGTTGTTGGAGTTGTGAACTGATCCAACCTTACTGGAGAACAATTTGGAACTATGCCTAAAGGGCTATAAAACTGTGCATAACCTTTGATCCAGCAATACCACTTCTAGGGCTGTATCCCAAAGAAATCATAAAAATGGGAAAAGGACCCATATGTACAAAAATATTTATAGCAGCTCTTTTTTGTGCTGGCAAAGAATTGGAAATTAAGGCCATCAGTTGGGGAATGGCTGAACAAGTTGTGGCATATGATTGTGACGGAATACTATTGTAGTATAGGAAATGATGAACAGGATGCTCTCAGAAAAACCTAGAAAGACTTATGTGAACTGATACGAAGTAAAGTGAGAAGCATCAGGAGAACATTGTGCACAGTAACAGCAATATTATACAATGACCGACTTTGGTAGAATTAGGTTATCTCAGCAAAAGGTTATCTAAGACAATTCCAAAAGACTCGTGATGGAAAATGCTATCCACATCCAGAGAAAGAACTATGGAGTCTGAATGCAGATCAAAGCATACTATTTGCTCTTTTTTTTCTTTCTTGTGGTTTTTTTCTTTTGTTCTGATTCTTCTTTCACAACATGACTAATGTACAAATATGTGTAATATGATTGTTACATGTATAGCCTATATTAGGTTGCATGCCATCTTGGGGAGAGGGGAGTGAAGGGAGGGAAAAAATTTAAACTCAAAATCGTATAAAAGTAAATGTTGAAAACTAAAAATAAATACATTTTTAAAAAAAGAAATCTTTTCATCCTGGAAGTTCACTTTGGACTTCTTATACTGGAAGTACCATCTGTCTCTAAGGCCTCTTCCACAAGCTAGCTGGTTCCTCTCAAAACCTGTATTCTGAAGAAGATGCCCAGGCTAGTTGTAGCTTTATTCCTCTCCTAGATGCATTCCTGAGGATTTTCCTACCATTTGTTATTACTTTTTTAATCTACTTATTCTACCCAGGGATTCCATCTACCCTGAAGCTTTTCAGCTGCCTTTTTTATATTTTGCCTTCCCCCATTAAAGTGTAAGCAACTTGAGGAAAGGGACTGTCTTTCTTCTGCTTGTTTTTATATTCCTAGCTCATAGCATGATGTCTGTCTGGCACATAGTAAGTGCTTAATAAATGCTTGTTGACTTGACTCACTCCAGCTGTTGCTAAGTCTTGAGCTAGAATAATCTATATCAGGTCCTTATGTTTCTGACCTGTATCCAGAAAGAGAAAAAGAAAAAGAAAAACCAGCCAGGAGCTCTCTTCTCTGGTAGGCGGGGCAAGCGTATTTAACTCCAGCGTGGTTGACCTGGCTAGCAACAACGCTGGGGGTAAATATGCTTGCTCAAGCATATTTGTTTAGCTCCAATGTTGAACGCTACCAAAATATCTATTAATGTTTCTTAAATTCTTGCATCACCCTCTGCAAGAGAGAAGTAGAAGGGAAATGGGGAAAGGAACCCAGAGTTCTCAATGAAGATTCCTTTTATAGGACTTTGCAACAAGTTTGTCTTCCAGAGAGTCTAAACCCATCAATTTAAGTTGGGGTAAGTCCGAGTCACTGAAAGTGACTCCCCATCACTGAGACTTAACCTGGGGTTCTCTTTTGTCTCCTTAACAAGGTGCTAATAGTTATGTCTATACCTCACCCACATAGCAAGGATGGGGGAGAAGATCTTTTTTAGAAGTCCCAGACAAAGGTTTACTGTTCTATAAGCTCAAGAAGTTAATTGAATGGAAATTTATCTGAAAAAAACCTTATACAAATTGAAAATCTAGAACTGAAAATAAAGTAAAAAATTAATGAAAAAAATTCTCTAGATCCCCAAATGATCATGGAGCAACAGCAAGAAACTCAAGAATGATGCAAAAGAAAAATAAAATTTTTTTAAAAAGATAGTCTGATACAAATTAGGTCAGAAATTTGAATTAACAAAATAAATAACAGGGTAGAGAACTTAAAACAAACATTGGAGAATCTTTCCAAGGAAGAAGAGGCTCTAAAAAAAGAAAATAACAGATCTGAAACTCAAAAAAATACAGAAGTGGAAGAAAATTTGACAGAAGAGAAGCAAAAGTCAATAACTTTAGATAAGACATGGATTTTACATTAGCCAGAAACAACTGACCTTGAAGACAGAATACAGAGAGATAAAAATAATAGGTCTCCAGGGGTGGAAAAAAAGGATAACTTTTTGAAACTGAATCCCACATTGCAGTAAATTAAAAAAAAAAAACCACTCAGACCAGAGGTTCCAAAACTTATTTGGCCTATTACCTCCTTTTCAAAAAAGAAATTACTCAGGCTCCCCCCCCATCTACTTTCTTTACCTTTTTAATGTTTTTTTTTTAAATTTTGCATAATTTCAAAAAATATAAAATTTTTTAAATAACACATCTTAAATTTAATATTTTATTATAAATTTGTGGGGTTTTTTCCTGAATTCAAATTGTGATGACACGATATTGTGTTATGTAATCATATAGTATCACGTTATAAACAAGTCATTACATGGACGTATTCTTGCTAATGCATGCTGGACTTGCCAACAATGTGCAACATGCTCACCTGCCAACACTTGCTTGTTTTATTTTATTTATTTTTGCGTGAGGCAGTGGGGTAAAGTGACTTGCCCAGGGTCACACAGCTAGTAAATGTCAAGTGTCTGAGGCTAGATTTGAACTCAGGTCTTCCTGAATCCAGGGCCAGTGCTCTATTCACTGTGCTAACTACCCCACCAATACTTGCTTGTTAAGATCTGTCAGCAGACCACTAATCAGTTATAACTTGCATTTTATGTGTTTGTTTGGAAAATAATGTAATCGCTACAACTTTAACTCTGTTACACAACAGATGTACCCTTATTCCATCCATGAGTGGCCAAAGAAGGAGCAATAATTTCTTTAATTTCTCAATATGAATGGGAAGGCTGTGGGAAAATAGGAAAAAAGTAATAGAAAGGAGGGAATGCCCTGGAATACAGACTGATTTCCACCATACCACATTGTTTCCACTTGAAATTTATATATATTTAAGAGTGAGCAACAGCAGGAAAAAGGCCCTACTGCAAATGAATATATGTATACACACGCATACACAGAGACAGACACACACATATGCATACACATATATAAGCATATATGTATACATATGCATATACATATAAAAGTATATATACACATATACATATGTGTATATATATATTATATATATATACACACATGCATACACACAAGAGGAAGGGAGGGTAGTAAGATGAGATCTAGACATGAAATAATATAGAAATTAGAAGAGGTAGCTCCAATTTGTTGCTCCAAAAGCCCTACATTCATGAGGCACATAGAATAAAAAAGGCAGCCTAGTTTAGTAGAGAATGTTCAACTTAGTTTCCAAAGGACATGGGTTCAATTTTTCTCTCAGACACTTAGTAGCTGTGGGGTCTTGGACAAGTCACTTAACCTCGTTGATCCTCAGTTTCCTTATCTGTAAAAAGGGGGAGTTGGAATAAAATGGTCTGTGAGGTCCCTTCTAAAACTTTAAATCTATGATGCTATGATCCTACAGGCTTCCTACTGGCCAGTTGTGCTGAGCATTTTACAGCCACAAGGTGGCAGCTGCAGCAGCTCTGAGAGTCTGACCCTCCCCTGGCCTAAATGGAACTTCCTTTGCATGGTCTGGGAGTGAAAACTCTAGGGAGAACTGTCTTGGCTTCTTAGAATATCGGAAATGAAATGGATCTTGGAGACCATTTTATCCAATCCCCTTATTTTATACAGGAGGAAACCTGAGGCCCAGAGGGGAGGAAGGGACGCCCTTAACATCAAAAAGCCAGTCCATGTCAAAGCTAGGAGCAGAATCTATCTACAATACCAACCCAGACCTCTTGGCACCAATTCAGCTCTGTAGCCATATGTCCTCTGAGAAAGTAGTCCAGGGAAAGTGTCCTCCATCCCAACTCCCACACCTGTACTCTATCAGATAGTCAGTCCTTCCATAAGCATTTATTAAGCACTTTGTTACTGTTGTTCAGTTGTATCCGACTCTTCATGACCCTGTTTGGGGTTTTCTTGGCAAGTAATGATATTATGGACATGTAATAATAGCTAGCATTTCTATAGCACCTTAAGGTTGATACTGGAGTGGTTTGCTATTTCCTTCTCCAGCTCATTTTACAGATGAGGAAACTGAGGCAAACACAGTTAAGTGACTTGCCTAGGGTCACACAGCTAGTAAGTGTCTAAGGTCAGATTTAAACACAGGAAGAGGAGTCTTCCTGACTCTAGGCCCAGCATGCTCTCCATTACGCCACCCAGCTGCCCATTATTAAGCTCTACTTTGTGCCAGGCACTAAGCAAAGCACTGGAGATGTAAAGAAAGGCAAAAAAGTGGTCCCTGCCCTCAAGGAGCTTACCCTCTAAAGAATACAAAAAACACAAGCTCACCACAGGTCTTCCCCAAATGACCCCTACATTCACTTTCTTCCAGATGTCACACACGAGCTCACACACTCACATCAGTGTCCACCCACAGCATCATTTACACACAAATTCCAGAACACACACGTGTGGTGGTATTTTTTGTAAATTTTAAAGTGCTGTATAAATATAAGCTGTTATTATTATTATTAAACTGTATTTCGTTCTTATTTCATTTGATGGAGTTCAGAAAGAAAAACCAGTCCTGGGATGAGTCACCTACTGACCAGCTATTCTTGCAATGAGGACTTTGAAAAGACCAGTGCCAGCCCAGTCATGGGAGCATGCATAGGCAATCTTCATGGAAGTTTGATGAGCTGATATCCAGGCATGTGTAATGGAGGGCTCTGCTCCACTCCAAAGCATGCACGTGTATTCTATGACTGTTTCCTCTCTGCTTTCTGTGTGGAGGGGTCTTTTTTGTTGGTTGCTAAGTTTCAAATGAAGATGCATACTAAAGACTCCAAAGGAAAAACTATCTTTTTTCCTCTCTGGTTGCATTTGAGTGAGGAGGATGAACAGCTGTGGGCCTTGAGGTGGTAGAGGGGACTTGGGATCATTCCCTCCCAGAGTATCCTGAATGTTAGTAAGCACACTGATTTTTAGGTAAGCCTTTGTCTATAATGAGGCTACCTCCTGTTCGTGCCTTCCTCCTTTGGTAGAGGACCTCGTGAGATCCAGAATGGCTAGAAACCCATAACAAGTCCAAGTCAATAAAGTGCCAGCATAGGCCTAAGGATTGACCTTTGGGAGCTAGTCCAGTGTCCACAAGGCACCGTGTCCTACAGCAGGGGAACAACTCATCTAGAACCCATGGTACATCTGGAGAAGAACCTAGTGGCATGAATTCTTTCTAACAGCCACTTTAACTTTGAATCCATTCCCATCAGGCACCAAGGTAGTAGAGAGAATAGTGGACTCCTGATGTTGAGGGAAGTACTTTATAGTTTCTGTTTTTGCCATATCTTTTCAGCAAATATTCCTTTATGAAAGATAACTGTTAATTGGGTATTTTGGTAGTAGGAAACTAGTTATTGGATCAATTAATGCTATGAGACAGATACTAACTGTAATTGGTGATTAATATTGGGGGAACACACCAATTAATCAATCAATACACATTTATTAAACTAACACTATATGTCAGGCACTGTGCTAAGTACTAGGGATGCAAAAAGAGGCAAAAGACAATGCTCTGTCCTCAAGAGCTTACAGTCTAGTAGGAGAGACAACATGCAAACAAATAAATACAAAGCTAACTATGAACACACAAGATTAATAGGAAATAATTATCAGAAAGAAGGCACTAGGATTATGACAGATTGAAGAAGGCTTCCTACAGAAGGTGAGATTTGAATTTTTTAAGGTAGGCTGAGCAGAGGAGAGGAAACTCCAGGCATGGGGAACAGCCAGAGAAAATGCCCAGAGCCAAGAAATGGAGTGCCTTGTTCCTAGAATATCTAGTAGGCCAGTGTCACTGAATGGAAGAGTACATGGCAGGTAGTAAAGTGTAAGAGACTAAAAATGTTAGGGCAGCTAGGTGGCGCAGTGGATAGAGCTCTGGCCTTGGAGTCAGAAGACCTGAGTTCAAATCCAGCCTCTGACACTTGACACTTACTAGTGTGTGATCCTGGGCAAATCACTTAACCCTGAATGCTTCACCAAAAAGCAAGAGAGAGAGAGAGAGAGACAGACAGACAGACAGACTGAAAATGTAGAAGGGGGCTAGGTTGTGAAGGGCTTTAGGGAATGTTTTGTTTGTGGAGTAGCCAGGAGGCCAGTATCACTCTATGGAAGAGTATATGTTGGAAGTAAGGTATAAGAAGATTGGAAAGGTAGGAGGGTGCTAGGTAATGAAGGGTTTGGAATGCCAAATAAAGCATTTTTTGTTTGATCTTGGAGGCACTAGAAAACCACTAGAGCTTATTGAGTAGGTCAGTGACAGTATTGGACTTGTGCTTTAGGAAAATCACTTTAGTATCTGAACAGAGGCTGGCTTGGAGTAGAAAGAGACTTGAAGCAAGCAGACCCGCCAGTAGGCTATGGCAATAATCCAGGCATGAGATGCCTGCACTAGAGTGGTGGCAGTGTCAGAGGAGAGAAGGGGGTATATTCAAGAGATGTTGCTGAGGTGAAATCAACAGGCCTTTGCAACAGATTGAATGTGGGGGAAGGGTGAGAGATAGTGAAGAGTCTAGGATGACCCCTAGATTGTGAGCCTAAAGGACCAGGAGAATGATAACGCCCTCTACAGTAATAAAAAAGGTTAAAGAAAGGGGAAGGCTTAGTGGGAAAGATAATGAGTATACCAGAATGCAGGCTTAAGCTAACAGCATTAGAAAGACACTCCATAATCCCTCAGAAGGTACCCCTAAAACCTTAAGAGAGAACCAGCCCTCTGAGTACTCAGCTTATCAGTGAGACTTGGAATAAGGACACCCAAAGAGTGTACGTATATTGCTATATTCTTTGACCATTTGTTCCTCCAGATCAATTTTGTTACAATTTTTTCTTGTTTTGTGGAGTAACTATCGAGTAGTTTGATTGCTTTAGCACTGAATAAGGAAGTTAACTTCAGATTGTAATTTTTATATTAGCATAGCCTAATGATGAATAATTAATATAGCTCCAATTATTTAGCTCTGACTTGATTTCTGTAAGGAGTGTTTTGCGTTTGTATTCATATAATTCTTGTGTATATCTTGGGAGGGAGACAACTATATTATGGATTCCATAGTTATTTTTAAAAGAACTCTTTCTGGTGCTTGTCACTGGATTTTATTGGTGATAGGCAGAAGAGGTGATAGCTTTATTGAAGTTATTATTTGTTTCAGTGAGTTTTAGCTGAATCTTTAGGGTTATCTCAATAAAACACGTCATCAGCAAAAAAGTGATAATTTTGTTTCCTTTTAGGCTATGATTACTCAATTTTAAAATCTTGTTTTATTCACTAAAGGGCAGCTAGGTGGCGCTCTTTCTGAGTTCAAATCTGGCCTTAGATACTTAATAGCTATGAGACTCTGGGCAAGTCACTCAACCCTGTTTGCCTCATCTGCAAAATGGGTTGGAAAAGGAAATGGTAAAACCACTCCAGTATCTTTGGCAAGAAAACCCAAATAGGGTCATGAGGAGTCAGACACAACTGAACAATATTCTTTTATATTAAATGTTCTTCAGACTATTGGAGAAAAGGATAAAGTAATTGTTTTTTGTAACTGAATAATGATATTGGTACTCTTCTAGGAGCTTGCTGAAAGCATCTGTGGGACAACTCCAGGAGCAGATAGGATGACGGGGGTAACAGGCACCTTATCCCATTCCCACATGGTTTTGATTCTTTTGCTATGTCTCTATTTTGAAAGCTTTTCATTTCGCATAGGTTGGCAAAATCAATTAAAATATTAGTCTAAAATGTTTATGGAACAGTGTTCCATCTTGATGACTGAGGACAGCAGCATTATTTGTGATCATTCTTCTGTTGTAATATAGTTGATGAGTTCAATTATCATGGATATTTTGAGGTCTGAATTTGTAGCATGGGCATTTGTTTTCTGTTCTTTTATTATTATTCATCTTGCTCTCACTTTTTTTTCCTGTGGGGTCCCGATAGAAATAGTCTTGGGACAAATAAACACCCTAGTATTTTTTTTAATGTATATAATGTCCCATGAACCATTGGCTAAGTGGATAAAATATCTGCTATTTGTAATTGAATCAAGGTTTTGGGATGGTCAGAATACCTAAGTTGGCATCTCAGCTCTGACACAGCGGCTGTGTGAATTTGGGCAAGCTTTTCCCCCTCTCTGTCTTTAGTTTCCTCTTCTGTAAAATGAAGGCTTTGGGCTAGGTTCAATTCAATTTAACATTTATTAGTTGCCTACTATGTGTTACTATAGTAGATGCTGGGGATACAAAGACAAAAAAAAATGAAACAGTCTGTCTTCAAGGAGTTTGATTCTACCGCTCTCTTAAGAGCCCTTTCAACTCTAACATTCTGAGGTTCTGCTTGCTTTCAGAGACTAGAGACTGTTCACACGGGCTCAGTTCCAAGTCTTTTTCGCAGCCCCTCCTACCATCTCATCTACCCCAGATTCTAAAGAGGCAGGGTAATCATGTAATTCTGTCTGAACCACATGTGATGATGTTCTCCATGCCTAAGGGGTACTGGGCTCTTCCACCTCTTCTCCCCCACTTCTCCCCGACTTAACTTGTTGGTTCTTACTCTGGCCCATGGCATTCTTTAAGACCTAACTTCCTAGAAGTTCCCCTTCTCCAAAAAGTCTTTTCTGGCTACTTCAACTCCCTTCTCTTAATTCTTTCCACTTGCTACTTGTGGCACACAATGTATAACTTTCTCATAATAATCATCCCCTTACACATGAGAGTCCTGTTTCCCCAGCCACACCCGAGGTGTGGAGTCAAAGTCTGGGTGTTCCTCCTCTGTCTCTTCCCAAGACTGGGAGTTCCTTCCCTACGCCCATCAGCAGTACAAAACTGAATCCACTGGAAGGGGGATGGAGGGAAGTGAGCTTGAGATGTGTGTAGGGGATTCTGATGCACAAAAAGAAAGGTGATTGACTTTCTCTTCAACTTGAAAAAAAAACAAACCAATAGTGGCAGGAGGCAATCAGACCCCATGGTCCTGCTGAACCACCATCCTGAGCCCTCAGACGACCAGTCCAAGAGGGTTATGCATTTGTTTCTGGGGTGGGCAGGTGAGTAGAAATGGATTTTGCCTCTGCCTCTGTGGGTTAGGTGAGAGGCCTAAAGTGTCTGCAGAAAAACACAAAACCAAAGAATCCTCAAAGCTATCACATCTGGCAACATTTTGCACCAGGGCATATTGCTGGGGCCAACGGTCCCATGCTGGCCCTTTGCCAGTGATCTGTCCTCTCAACACTGAGCCTGGCACCACAGCTAGGCTTTTCCCTGGGGATAGCTGGGTACCTCCAGAAAGAAACTATCTTGACTTCTTGCCATATGCAGCTGGCTGGGCAAATTTTCCCTCCCAGGGAAGCTTCAGAGAAGCCACAAGAGCTGTTTTTCTTTGAGGGGGAAAAAAAAGAAAGAAAAGAAAAAGAAAAAAAGTTAGGAAGCTGATGCTTTGTATCACCTCCTGTGGTCTGCCTTCCCCTCCCCCAGTCTCCACCCCCCACTCTCCATGTCTCTGTGTCAGCAATGAGAAACATTTATTAGTTCATAACTTTGTAGAGAATACTGAGTTAACAATGGAGGAGAAACAAAGTACAGATAAAATGGGGCTCCTGTCCTCATGGACCTCACAATCTGTTACACATAAAGGTTGCAGGCACTATAATACACAATAAGTGTTTATTAAGTGCCTACTATGTTCTAGGCACT